TACATGTGTGTGATGATGGGTTGTAATTAGTATTTTGGTGGTGAACATGATGTAATCTATGCAGAAATAGAAGTATAATGATGTACACCTGAAATTTTTACAATGTTATAAACCAATGTTGCTGCAATAAACAAAATAAAAAGACAACATGGTAGGTGAAAAAAAAGAAAAAGCACTGCAAAGGAGAGGAGGTCAGAAAGTGTTGCCCGAATAGAAAAAACACACCTGAAAGAGACTTAGTTCCTCCTCACTTAAGGACGCCCAGAGAATCTATAAGAAAGCTGGGAAGAGACCACTGAGATACCCAATCAATAACTCCTGACGCCTTCTCTAAAGGTTCAAAGATATCTGATGTCATTTCACAAAGCCCCTTTCCTAGTTTAAGTGTCCTAAGTATACCCTCTATACCCTCCTCCCTCTCTCCTCTTTAGGGGTACTAATGAACCAAAATGGATCCTCAGAGACCCCTGGACTGTGGCTGTTTCAAAAGTCACCGCCCAAACCACCCTGAATGATGTGATTTCACAGGAGCGAGGAATCTTACCTTTCCACCTTCCAGGTACAAGTCTGAGCAAGGACGAATAGCTTCGTTCTAAACTACGGTCCAGAAGTTAGAGAAGGGAAGCCAGGTGGAGGAAGGCAGCCATGCTAACTGTAGATTAAGTATATGACACCTTCAGCATATTCAATTTACCAGTTACTGGAACTCATCCTTTAATTCTGATTTCTGATCCTTTTGCTAGAAAGGTTTAACCCTCTTATGTCCTGACAAAATTGCCACAAATAAATGGATACTTCAAACCTCCTTCTTGTCTTACCAAATAATTTACTAGCAAGCCTAAGAATTAAAAAAACCAAAAAACTAACTAAGTGCTGGAGTCTCCTGCTGAAAGTCTACAAAGCTTTAAAACCCCTGGTAAGGGCTTAGAAACTGACAGTAAGGACCCTTAGCTATTAATGTGGATGCTACCTGGGCTAGACTCTCAACTTCTGTTTCCACGCAGAAGCAGAACCTACAACAGAGGAACCTGCTACTACTACGAAGGTAAAGCACTAGGGCAAAGGTGTTGAGGTCAAGTTAAGCATCACCCACAGAGCTAAGACAAACCAAAATCAAGTCTAACAGCCCATCTTCTCCACTTCGTTTTAGTTTCCACGCTTATCAGAGAGAAAACAGCACATCACAATCATCTGTGAATCTTTTTTTAGATTATATACCCCTCTCCTTCCCTTCTAAGACTTTGCTATTCTTCTATCAGAATAGCGAGCAGGCTCTGGGTAGGTGTAGTCTGATAAGGCCCCACAGATGATTCCATTAGAGCCACTGTTCTTCCAAGGTTTCATAAGACTCTGTTTAGAAAATCTCTGGGTATAACAACAGAGAGCAGACAGCCATTTCCTCTCAGCCCATTTAAATGGGACTACTACAGGACTGACAAAATTTAGGCACATAAAGAGAAGTATCTACCCACAGTCATGTGAAAAAAATTCTCAAATAAATGGTCCAAGTACCTATCACTGTTAACCACACTTGGTTTTATCTGTTTTTCTAGATTTGCAAGGTCATACAGTATAATATTTCAGGCAAGTGGTGGGGGAACTTCAGAATTCTTTGATATCAAAGTTGACTGATTTGCATGATGAATGACAAGGCGTTGTTGGGGACGAGAAAAATAAACCAATGAATGGGTAAGAAAACGATACTGACAAATAAATTAGACCCGCATAACTGCCAAAGGCTTCCTTTTCTCAGTTGTATTATGCAGCGTTGAGTCTTCAGATTTTATTTCGGTCTACCAGGCAGAAGCGAATTCATCCCAGAGCCTGCCCAAGGCTATTCAGAGCAGTGAGTTGCAGAATCTAGTTCTGGGAAGGCGGCTGTTCTTACTACCCACAAAGTGTGCCCAAAGTGCAGAAAACATGAATTCAGATTACAATAGCAACAAATGACTGAAGCACAAAACCCCAGCCATGCTGGTGCTAAAGCACTTGGCTACCAGCTCACAGGATAAAGCACTGTCCAAGGGTCTACAGTGAGTGAGCAAAGAAGCAACATTTGAAAAGATCGATGAACGATGAACGTAACGGGTAGGAGGGCCCAAAGTTCCCTGAATCAGGACAGAAGAGCTGTGTCATGATTCGTACGGAAAGCGTGAAGGGCAATTATTTTTCTTATCCCTGGAGAGAAAAAAGGAGGGGGACACAACACTCTTAGTTAGTCTTGCGCAACCAGACATTGTTAAAAATGGGCCAAAGCTATATATCGTACTGATATTTACTTAAGTCTCACCCCGACCCAGGTACTAAGCAAAATACTTTGCTGTTCCAAGTGTGGCCTGCAGACCAGCGGCATCAGCCTCACCTGGAAGCTGATGAGAGACGCAGAATCTCAGGCCTCACCTCAGACCCACCGAATCAGGACCTCCAGATCCCCAAGGAATTCGCATGCACATTAGGCGCGGCAGAATATCTCACTACATTCTCACAGCAGCCTTGGGAGGCAAGTACTGTTATTATCTCCGTCTCACCTAAGAAAAATCAAGATTCGGATAAGCCGCTTGCCCAAGGTCACAGAACTCCGGAATGGCGGGGGTCGCCGAGGTTCTCCCTAGGGCCGGGCCTGCGAGAGGCGCCCGGAGCCCGGGCCGGGAAGCGCGGAGCCGGGCTGCGGGACGCGCCGGCGGAGGTGCGGGTCAAGACCTAGCTCGGCGGGGAGCAGCCGCCGCCACTCACCTGAGCCTGGCGAGCGCGGCCGTCGCAACACTAGACCCCAGTTCCCGCCGGCAACGCCGCCACGGCGACTCCTCCAGCACCACCCGGGCCTCACAGCCCCCACTTCCGGCCAACTGCCCGCTACTTCCGGCTGCTGCGCGAGGGACGGGTGCAGCTGAGGCTCAAAAGACTCTGTCAGCGTTTTCCAAGGACGTTTTCCACTGGAGGATGTTGCAGCGGAGACCGCGGGAGTCTAGGACCTGCAGAGGGGAAACACCGCCATGGATGGACCGCTCTGGAAGTCATTGAATAACCTAGACACAGGTTCGAATCCCAGACCGCCACCCAGGGTTTTATGACTTTGGCGAAGTCACGTAAATTCTTTAAACCTGGTTTCTCATCTGTACAATGAGGATACTCATGCATTTATGATAGAGATATATCTATAAAGTGCTCTCAGGAGAAGAGTTAGTGATGGATAGACGAGCCTGTTAGCACAAGTGGATGTAAGGAGCTGCAGCTTGAGGAGGCCAGTGGTATGGTGGATGAGCTAGGGTGATCCTCCGCCTCCCTAAGTAGTGGGGTTCACACCTGAGTCAGTATGGGCAACTAGGCAAGGAAGAGACTGTACCGAGACCTTCCAGGGGGACCTGGCTGCATACTGCCACTCCTAGTGCCACTAGAGACCTGCTGGTCAGAATCGTCATACCTTGTCAGTGCCTTGGCTACTGGTTTGCCCATCCTAAGGGATGTGAAGGGGACCTGAGAAATGGTGCTCCCTCCTGGGCATCATCTTGTCAGGGAGACAGAACCAATGCAGGGAGGACACTTCACTGCATGGAGAGCCAAGCCTGGCATCCCAACTCCTGAGCTCTGTAGAGGGCACTGTTTGCCTGGGTGTGAGCATTTGGGGCCCCAGACCACTGACACCACTGCTCAGGGAGGGTTTTCTCACCCAGGCCAGACCAGGGCAAACACTGTTAGTTGCTGATTATGATGTTGTCCTTGCCAGCAGAACCCAGAGAGAGCAGAGGGCCCATCCCCAGAGGATGAACCATGATTGCTGCTAGGCAGCCATGACAATCCTGTTCCTCTTAGCCAAATACTCAATTTCCCAGCCTTCCTTGAAGTGGGAGGAGCATGTGACTTGGTTCTGGCCAACAAAATTTAAAGGGAAACATGCTGGCAGGGCTCTGGGAAAGCTTTTACTTTCATGATAAAGTGGTGCTGCCCCAATCCCTTCATGGAGCTGTGGAAGCCACCTTGTGGCATGGAAGGGGCAACGTGCTAAGGATGGGAGAGAAGGAGGATGAAAGTCTAGATCCTTGATGAACCAATATCTGTGACATTTATGGTGCCCACATCCAGACTTTTTGTCAGGTGAGGAAAAATAAATGACTCTTTGAGGTCCTGTAAATCAGGTAGGTTATTTATAGCAGAATGCATTCTTGACCGGGGGGCTTTGTGAAGATGGCCGAAGGAGTTACTATAAAGGACAGCTCCTTGCTCACAGCACGCTTGGGTCCCTTCTGCCTTTGGGGCCTCACCACTAATTACAAACCCATTCTCAGCCTTCATGACTATGTATTCCACCCTCAAACACCGGCCAATCGCTGTAAGATGGTTCAGGCTGTTGCAGGCTGCATCTAGCTGTCTTGCATCACCTGCCTTCTGGCCAACAGCCTGGTGTCCAGATTTTGAGATGGAACCAGCTTGAAACCCTTTTGGTGACAGTCTGGGCTGAAGAGAAAGCCCCACTGGGCAGAAATGTGGAACTACAACTCCTCCTGGACAACTTGGGCTTCGGGCCAACCTCCTGGCATGGCCCAGTGAGCACCTCCGGTCTCATGCCTCTTCTGGGAAACCTGTTTACTCCAGCTTTGCCCTCCACACCCCCCTCACCCACGCTTCACTTCCCACACCTGCAAGGCACAAGCAGGCCAAAGAATGCCACTCAAGAGGCTTTCTCCATTTTATTTCTTTGGGAAAAGAAAACGAAGTCTTTCCATCACATATGGTAGAGATATATATTTATATATATTTATATATAATTTCTTTTGTGGTTGGAAGTCCCAAAGCTGAGTCTATTAATATTTTTTTTTCTATTTCTTTTCCTACTAATGCCTTCTCTTCCCCCCGCCCCTCTGGCCCAAGTTCTAGGACAGGTGCAGTGAGGGGTGAGTGGAATGGGCAGTGATTGCCAGGACGGCCCCCCACCTAGCTCAGAGATCTGGTGAGGGCCACTGGGAAGGGGCTGTGCAGAGGGATAGAGGCCGCACAGATGGGCACTCCTATTTTTGTAGGGGACGCACAGCTCGTTAAACAGTCACCAGTCATGGGAGGAGGCTGGTCAGGGGTTGGGGGACTTGCTCACAGTAGTTATCAGCTCTCTCCACCCTGCCCTCCAAACCCAGTCTTGGGCGTGGGAGGAAGCGAGTGAAAGAGAAGTACCAGGGCTGAGGGCCAAGCCTCCTCCAATTGTTATTGCTGGTGAATTAGAAATTTGCCTTTCCCTTCCTGTCTTGGGGAGATGGACTCTGAGAGGGCCCCGAGAGGAAGAAGGAAGTGACACTGGCTGTCCCAACCCCCACTGATGGCCATGCCAGGCCTACTCTGGGCAAACACTGGGCTACCTCAGGGCCCTGTGAACCCAGGGGTCAGTGTTCCTCTCAGGTCAGCCGCCTTCTTCAAGTGGAATCACAACCACCCCTCCACCCCCCAAAACAAGGGCCTCAGGCTCAGGCTTGGGCGCAGTGGAGCTTGGAAGTGGGCAGTGCACCAAAGATCAAGCAGAATTTTCTACTGGAAGAAAAAGTAAGGTTTAGGGGAAGAGGCAGCCTGGGACAATGATGTTCTGAGCATGAAAGGAGGCTGGGGGAATTGAGTGGGGGAAGACACAGGAAGACATCACAGACACTCATATAACCTCAGAAACTGGGTGAGGGTAGTGCCTGAGAGGCAGGTAGCACTTAATAGCTGTAGTTAGAGCTGGACAGTGGCCCCGGGTGTGGGGTCAACCAAGCAGATGGGGCTGTCGCCCTGTGGATCCTGGCCAGAAGGGTGAGGGTAGAGCTAAGAAGCCTCCAGGTGACCCTTCCCAAGAACAGGAGGGCAGATCTTCCCTGGGCACTAAGCCTCCAGCCCCAGCTCTTCCCTCCCCCAGCACACACATATGGACCCATACTCAGGACCAGACCAGGCTCTGAGGCCTGGGCCCAAGAGACCTTGTGGGGAGGGGCTGGACAGGTAGCCCTCTCAACCACAGACAGGCCGTCTGCTCCCACTTGTCCCGCCAGTCTGCCCAGGGAGGGAGACTAGTGCAGGAAGGAGAGAGGCCAGGAGCCCAAGGTCTGTCAGCTTTGGCAGACCCCATGCAGGCCCCCTCAGGCTACGTGGCCTAGGAGGTGAGCATAGAGAGCATCACTGGACACAGGGTGGCCAACAGTAGCAGCCCAGACCCACCTAAGGGTTGGGTCACCTCATGGCACTGCAGGCCTGCCGCCTCCATCTCCAACGAGGGAGGGCCAAGAAAGGGAGCATGGCTCCCCTGCTGCCGGGGCCCCTTATCCCCACTCACTCTGCCCTCCCCCATTCCCTCCTTGGGAAGAGGGTTCGAGTGGGCTGCCCAAAGGGGCAGTGGTAGAGCTGGTAGAGTGGTAGAGGGGGGACCTAGTCACAGCTGCTTTGAGAACCTCTTTGGTCTGGGGATGTGGTAGGAGATGTGGGGAAGAGAGATGGCGGGGACGGGATACTGGGGACTCTGGCCTTTGACAGGGCATTTGTCAAAAGGCCACATGCCCAGCTAGGGAATCAGATTTCTGTGGACTCAATGCGCTCGAGGCGGGAGGGGGTCCAGGCTTTCTTCTCCTCGCCATGTTGAGGGGTAGGCGTGCTGGCACCTCCCGCAGCCCCACGCTCTCGCAGCCGCCGCTCCAGCTGCTGGTTGCGCTGGTACATCTCCACATAACTAAGCTGCAGCTGCTTCTGGTACTCGATGACCTTCTCCTTCTCCTCCAGCCACACGCGGCGCTCCTCTGCGAAGCTGGCGCCCTGGCGCTCCCGGGCTCGCCGCTCAGCCGCCAGCTCAGCCTGCAGCCGCCCCACCTCCCGCCGCAGGGCCCGTGTCCCACTCTCCCCACCAGCATCCACCTCCCCATCCAAGGAAACCAAGGAGGCAGCAGCGGCCACCCCAGCCTGACGGCGCATCTTGGCTTCGTCGCTCTCACAGGTGGCCAGCGCATCCTGCGGCTCGGCAGGGTCCATGGGGGTCAACGCCGGCTTGAGGCAGGCCGCAGGCAGCTCGCCCTCCCCCAGCTCCAGGCTGGCCTGTTTGCTGCTGAAGGAGTCCCTCAGGCTGAGCAGCTGCTCCTCCTTCTCCCGCAGCGAGGCCCGACCCTCCCGCAGCTGCGAGCGCAGCCCCACTATCTCACTCAACTTCTGGGACACGTCCGCCTGCGAGTCCTTCAGCTGCTGCTTCAGGAGGGAAATCTCCCCAGCCTTCTGGCACACCTGGGTGAGAGGAGAAGCCAGAGTGAAGGCAGAGCTCGCTCACCCCACCCCGAGCCCCATATCTAGTCCCACAGGCACCAAGCTTCCCCAGGGCTCAGGGGCAGCTCCTCATCAGACTGGGTGGAAATGACACTCGGGACACACTCCTTTGACTTGGGACAGACATAGCTGATCTTACGTGACCCAAGGATAGCTCTGGTCCTCACAAACATTCCTAATTGATTTTGTCCGCCCCCCCCCCCCACACACACACACAGACACTCCTTTCACTCCCCTCGTGATAGTGGTGGGCTGCTGCTCTGGGTTTCTCTGGAGGGGCAGAAGGAAGGGGACACAGAGGCAGAAGGCCCAAGCCCCCAGCCCGCACCTCCCACTTAGTTTCCTCCATCCGGGGCAGGAAGTCGGCCTGCTCCTTCTGGCAGGCCGCCACCTTGTCCTCAAGCTCTTCCCGTTGCCGCATCAGCCGGGCTGCCTCCTCCTGCAGCTGCTTCTTGTCCTGCTGCAGCCGCAGCACCTGCAACTGTAGGCCCTGCTGGGCACGCTGAGCGCGGCGGGCCACCTGCTGCAGCTTCCCGCTGCAGCCCTGCCGCAGCTCCGCCAGCTCGCGCTCCCACGCCTTCTGCCGCTCCTCCAGCACCTGGGCCACCGCCGCCTCGCTCTGCTCCAGGCTGCGCCGCAGAGCTGCCACCTCCTGCTCCTTCTCCCACAGCCGCTCCTCTAGCTCCTGGATCAGAGCACTGGGCGAGGGTGGTGAGCAGGCTGCAAATGGCAGGCCTCCACCTCCGCCCTCCCCCGATCCCAGGTGGCCTGGCCGCCCCATGGATGAGGAGGACCCACTCTTGCTGGAGGCCCGCCCACTGTCAGAGGTTGCCAGGTCTTGGTAGCCCGACCCACCACCACTACTGCTGCCGCTGCCACCCCCATAGCTGGCAGTGCCGATGCGGTTGATGTGGCTGGTGGAGGCACTGAGGGGCGCCAGGTGCTGGCTATAGCTGGAGCTGTAGGTGGGCAGACTTGTGAGTGAGTTCCGGCCAGAGTCTGAGAGGCCGCCCCCACCCCCGCCTGCTGGAGTCATGGTCCGAGACTTGTCCAGCCCGCCCTTGAGACCACCAGGGCCCTGTCGTCCCTCAGGGGTCCCATTGGTCTGCGGGGGGCACAAGTTCTGCATGGAGTGGAAGTTCTTGGGTACAACAGGCTTGAAGGCTGAAGGCCGAACTAGCGGCTCTGAGCACTACATAAAAGCAAGGAAGGGGGAGTGGGCATCAGGATGGGGCCTTAGCCTCGGCCTCAGCCTCCGCTCCCTGGCCAAGATTTGTTCAGGTCCACCTCCCACCCTCACTGGATCTCCATCTTAGAAGTCAATCCCAGCTGAATCTCCACCTCATGCCCCCCTGAAGCCAGGTCTCTCCCCTAGACCCACCCCATGGCTCCCCAGCCCAGCCTCCATCCTGGCCCCTACAACCCGACTTCCAAGAAGACCCACTTTACCCTCCTCTCTGGGCTGCCTCCCATGCCTCATAAAAGGCCCCGGGGACTGACCTGGTCTAGCTTGCCAGAGGTGGCCAGGAGCTTAGGTGGGTGGCTGGGCTCACGATACTGTGGTGGGGCCTTATCACTGCCGCCGCTGCTGCTGCTGCCACCACTGCTGCCCACCACATTCCCACAGACATCTGTGTGGTCACTGCCCCGCAGCTCGCCATTGAGGTAGAGGGAGTTGGCGAGAGCCTTGTCCTCTGATGGGTAGCGGCCCGGCCTCTCCCTGCTGGCCCCACTGCCACTGCCACGGGGGCCAGGGAAACCGCCCTGGCTGCCCCCACCCCCTGTGCGGGTGCCCACACTCTTCATGGCGAACTCCTGGGCGTGGGACACCCCACTGCCCACACTGCCCATGGCCAGGCGAGGGTCCGGGGGTCCGAGCTCAGAGGGCCGCGGGGCAAAGGCCAGGAGGGGATCCCGCCCTGGGTCGGCGCGCACAGGCAGTGTTTCCAGCTTCGCCATGACTAAGCCAGGAGGGCACTGTGGGCACAGGTGGGAAGGCAGAGAGAGGTCAGCTCCACCCCCACTCCCACACCCCCAGCCAAGTCAGCCCCAGCAACACTCGCACCCTGCCCCTCAGTGTCCCCTTCCCTACAACGGGTACAAGAGTTCCCAGACACCCAAGGTGAAGGAATGGGGCTGGGGTAAGAGTGACAGCTTGGTAATGGGGGCTGCCTGTTGCTCACCTGACAAAGCCCAACCCCAGGGCACCATGCACATACCCTCCTGGCTTTGCTCAGCTCAGCATTCCACTCCTCAACTCCTGCCTCAACCCCACCTCCTCCATGAGCCTCAATTCTTCCCTACAGCCCCCCGAATTTAGGCTGGGTCTGGGCCCCTATATCCCAACCGCATGGGCTGAGGAGATGGGGTTGGAAGGGGACAGCAATACCTGAATCGAATAGGGAACATCATAACTTAAGAGAGGGAGAGAAACCCACCCCTATACAAAAATTGTGGGTGGGGGTCCTTCCCGGCCCCCTAACCTAGGGCGTTGCAGTCAAGGGCAGAAGTGGAGGCTCACTACCAGCGCAGGCTCCTCTCCTTGCCTTTCCAAAGAGGTGGGGGGCCGACGGGTCCTCAAGCCTGGGACCCTCCGCGGCCCGGTCTGCAGGGGCCATGTGCCTCACTCTCGCAGTCGGGGCTCGGCCCGAACCAGCTGCCCGACTTTGGAAGGGCCGACTGGGCCATCCTGGACTGCAGTGTTCTCCTCTGCGAAATGGGAGGAACGAAGGACACACCTCGCCGAGCTGCCGCGTGCCAGGCGCCCCGCGGCGGCGGGTGCGGAAGGGGACGGGGGGTCTCGGCGGGGGTGGGCCGGAGCTGCCGCGGTGGCGCGCATCTGGGTCGCCAGAGGGCGCCACCACGGGCACGCCCCGTCCCCCGCGGACGGCCGGGGACTGCGGCGGCAGCGCGTGGCAAGAGGGCCCTCCTGAGGTCTTCGCAACTCGGCCGCACGGGGAACTGGCACGAGAGGGCCCCCTCCCCACGGCCAGTTCCCTGGCCGAGACCCCTGGGCTGGCCGAGGCCGGGGCAGAGGCGTGCCTCCCTCCGGGCCTGCGTTTCCACAGGTGGGCGGGGACGGGGCGGGGCCTCCGCACCCAGCGGCGCCCGGGAGGATTCCGCGCCCGCAAAACCACTCTAAGAATTCACTGCCACCGGGAAGACTTCCTGGATTCCTCCCCTTCCCCGCTCTCTGTGGACCTTGACCCTGCTCAGTTCACCGTGAAGTCCTCTGAGCCCTTCTGCGGGGTGCGCCTCCTCCCCCAAGGCCGGCCCCCAGAAGCCGGGGGAGCAGGGCCTCGGGTTACCTGTACTCAGGGAGGCCCTGCTTCCTTGTTCCTTTGTCTCAAGTCCGCACCTGGGAACACCTGCCCCAGAGACCTGCATAATCCAGCCTGGCAGAGGCACCAGGCAGTGCCTGCCGCGGGTGTAGACGCTCAAATGCGTGTATCAGAGATGGCAGGGGACGCCCTTAGGCCTTTACCCCCTACTCAGAAACCAGGCAGGGAGCCCTCCTTCTCTACCAAGGTGAAGGGGCCCAGGTGGCACCCCACAGCCCCTTGAGTGCTCTTCAGACTGTCTTCTACCCAGATGCCCACTTCTAATGCTGTGTCTTTCCTATCAGGCCCCAGACCAGGGGATCCTGACAAAACTCTTGCCCTTCAGGAGTCTTCTAGCCACCACACCTGGAATTACAGCCCTAGGTGGCTGGAAAGTTCACCACCAAGCCAGTCCTGACTGCCTTTGTAAAATTCCATTCTCTCCGTGTCTGCCCCTCACTTCCCCCACCCCCAGGTGCGGAGAACAGCACTTTAGCACCTTCCTCCCTCGGCCAGTCTGTCCCCACATGCAGGGCTGAGACTAGGGTGAGGCAAGAGAGGCACCTAGGGTGCAATTTAAGTGTAGGATCAGCAAGTGCAGGACCCTGAGAGTGAGTGCCTCCTTACACTTGGTGCCCTCATGCCTCACCCTGCTCTGCCTCCACTTCGCAACATATTCCAGCCCTGCTACCCCTCAGCCCAGAAGTACCCACCCACCCACCCTAAGCATGACCCCCTTCTTTTGCTATCCTTGGGTGCAGTGTAGGGAGCAGCTGGGGACTAGGAGGATGGAAGCTGAGTGGCCTGAGGCTTGGAACCGGTGGGAAGGCCTGGGCAGGGTTTGGGAGGAAGAACTGACAAAACTTCATAGTGATGGGGTTCAGGGGATGGGGCCAAGTGAGGAATCCAGGCTGGGGCCCCCAGGGTGGGTGTGACACCCTTAACATGACAGGGGGAGAATGTGTAGAGGAAATAGGTGCTTTTGGGAAGACCAGAGAAAGTTGTCTCTCACATACTGGATGGAAAGAGAGACTGGCATCACCAGCATTCAAGGGTGGTGTGGGTGGGGCCCAGCATCAAGCTAGGGTGGCAGAGCCCCAGAAGCTTGGGAGGCAGTGGGGGAGCAGGTAGAAGGGAGCAGACCCTGCAGACCAAGATGAGGGGCTTCAAGAATGTGGGAGCAGCTCCCAGTGTTTAAAAAAAGGCCAGGCAAAACTGGGATTGGAGAGCATGCCCTGGATTTGGCAGGTGGAAACATTACTGGTGTCTATGAGAGAATGGTTTCAGAAAAGTGGTGCAAGGCAAAGCCAGACTACAGGAGTAGAGAGGTCTAGAGGGAAAGATGGGAGAATTCCCTGCCAAGAGAGAAGGCCAGAGAAGGCTATAATTTAAGGTGGTTTGGGACCCAAGGGCCCTTTTCTAATTTTAAAATTAAGCATGGTATAAACCTGAGTGTGTTGACATGCCAAAGGAAGGTGCCCAAAGTGAGATTAGAGATCTAGGAATGGGGGCTACGCCAGAGGCCTGGATGTGGACAGGAGAAAATCTCAGAAGTGATCATGTTGGTCATGAGAGCGATAGGGATAATGTTTGGGAAGGTGCTTTGCAAACTGTAAGGTGCAGTACAAACATGTAGTACTACCTTGTCTGAGATCCAGGAAAGGAGAATCTGACCATAGGTTGGGGCTGGTCATATGCCACTCTGCCCTACTGTTTCCCTGGAGTGTGTATGGTCCCCAGCCAGGCTAGGATGCCCAGAGTCCTGGACGGAAATGACATCCCAAGACTGTCTTCTGAGCCTCCTCTCCCTGTGCTCTACCTAGGGAATCCATGACTGCCAACACACAGCAGCTCTCCCGGGAGCCTTGCTCCCCAAAGTGCTTCTTGCCGTAATTATAACATGTCATGGTCAACCCCATGCAAGCGTTCCCTGTCCCTTGCCTCTCCCAAGCTGGGGCTGCCACAGCTTCTTTCCTCAAAAGCCCGGCAGGGAGCTTTCAGGACAAGGACGGGCATATGTTTCCGCCTGACAGGCAGAAACTCAGCCCAGAGGAAGAGTCTGAGCTTCATCTATAGGTCAGGGTCCTGAACTGGCCCAGGTAACTGAGTGTGGTCTGCAAAGGCAGCCTCATGGCATCAGCCCAACAACCCGGGATGACAGCCTGTTGCCCGACTCTACCTCTATCTCTGTCCCATCAACCCTCAGTGTCTGGGACATTACACACAGTATTAGCAGTCACAAAGGGGCCAAATGGACTCTACCTGGGAGTTACATAGGCAGATCCCTCCAACCCACCTGGGTGGAGTGACCACCCAGCCCCTCCCTACCTGTGTCCCTCCCAAAGCTAGGAACACTCCACTCTTCTCTTAGGGTCTCAGAGGCCCCAAGCTAAGCCCATTTACCCCCTAAAGATCTCAGCAGCCCCTCCTGCCAGTCCCCCTTGCTGGGGACTCCTCACTCACCTTTCTTCCCCTGCACTCTCTCCTCTGTGCAGCTGCCAGGGGACTCTTTCTAAAGGGCAAAGCCAATCTTGTCCCTGCTCTGCCCAAATTCTTCCATGAGCAGTGCCAAGTGCAGGAGACAGAGTTCTGGAGGCATCAGCTCTAAGTGTAAATCCCAGCTCCACTGATTAGAGGTGGAACCGCATGCAGGTTATTTCACCTCGGGTTCTCACATCTACCTTATAGGAATCTTAAGTAAATGTATTATGGGTAAAATGCGTGGCATTCCTCTCAGCGCCCAGAACCAGAGCAGAGCTTGCAGGAGGGCCACCAAGGCCTCTCCTGCTGCCCATCCTTTTTACCCCGACCTGAGCCCCTTTCCACTCCACACACAATCTATTCCCAGCTCTCTGTGCCCATCCTGCATCCTTCAAGGACCAATCCAAATGCTGCCTCTCAGGACAGCATCCCTGATCTCCCCTAGTGGGGAGGGGTCTTGGAACACTTGGCTCAGGCTACTCCAGGGAGATGCCACTCTGAGGTTTCCTTGGAGCTGGCCTGTGGATACCCCAGTGGCACAGATGGCAGAGTCCTGTGGTCTTTTGGCCTGGCACTGAGGAGATGCAGAGAGAATGTGTGGGAATGCTAGTTATGAGCAATGCAAAGAGGCAATGAATCCGGACAGGAAAATCAGGAAGGGCTTCCCGGAAGAAGGACTGAGGGAGAAATAGGATCGGGGGCACTGTAGGGCTTTTGGGGGTGCAGAGGTCTCCAGAACTTCTTGGTTGGGATTTGAGGGGCGATCCATCTTCTCTTGGCGACAAAGGAGAAAGGGGCCCATCCCCTAGATTCTGGCTCTGATGAAGTCCGTGTTTCAGGACTGAGGGGGCTGACAGCGCCCCCCCTTCCCCTTGAGCACACACACGCGCGCACACACGAGCCTCCGCGCGGGGGGGTGGGGGTATTCGCCATTCACCAGCAACCCGTTGCCCGCAGCGACAACAGATAGAGACCCCGGCCACAGGCCGTCCCGAAGAGGTGCCCGGGGGTCTCTGCAGTGGGGAAAATCCCACCCGGACCTCCCCGTGCTCCGCACCAACGCGTGTGGCCCCGGGGGGCGGGGCGCAGAGGGAAGAGGTGACATAATCCGGGCCGCACCCCCTCCGGCCGCCACCTCCCCCCAGGCCCCGCGAAACATCCATGACATCATCGCCTCATCTCCACTCCCCTCCCCCCTAGGACCCCAGCAGCGGGACGCGCCCCCTCCTCAGCTCCAGGTCTGGCTGGACGAGCCTCGCGGTGCAGTGTGCACGGCGACAGGTCGGAGCCCGGAGGGACGCCGCGGTGGCCCTGCCTCACTTACTCGCTGCCTCAGGATCTGGCGCGGGGTCTTCGACGAGGGCGCCACCGGCCCGGCTTGCTGGCGCAGCCCGAAGCCCGCCCGGCGGGGCGCGCGGCGCGGGCCCGGCTCGGCTCCGCGCCCCTCCCGCTTCCCACCCGGGCCCCGCCCACCCGCGGCTGCGGCAAACGCGGACCCGCCCTCCGGCCACGCCCCCCGGGGCCGCCAATCCCCGGGCTGGGGCGGGGCGCAGTGCCTTAACTCCTTCGTCTCTGCATCCTGGTCCGCACGTGGAACCCTTCTGGACCACTCACTCCAGGGCGCCACGAGTCTGCTCCGAGCCCGTCTGCTCGTCGCCTGTTATTCCCCAGGATTCTTGGGCTCAGCCCGCAGTCTCTCCTTTCCAACGAAAGCAGTGGAACAGCGCCCTCCGCCACATCTTTGGCGACCTAGAGGAGCCCCTCTGGTTTGGGGAAGGGGCTCGGGACACCCAGCCCCGAGCCCCATTCCTCTCCCGCTACTGCTCTTTCGGACGCGGCCTCCCAGCGGACGCCGTGAGACCCTGCAAGTCCGCAAGGTGGGGGCGGGGCGAGCCATCACGGGTGGATCCCACACTGCCGAGGGAAGACCGCCCGGGCGCGGGGACCGCAGGCTCGCGTGTGGGAGGCTTCGAGGGGCCGTGACACCCTCCGTCAGCAAACGGAGCCGGTCTGACACTTGCTGCTCGCGGATGCTCACCGTCCGCGGGAAAAGGCGGGCGACCAGGAAAAGACGTTACAATCCAGCAGGGTTTGAGTGCTTTCACCCTGTGCCCCGCACCTGGCACGAGGCTTGGACCCGGCCCGCACGCTGCATCCGGGGATGAGAGGGGACCCGGAGCACCAGCTTCGCACGCGCGTGCCGCGTTCTGTGCGGCGAGTGCTCATTCCGCCCCGGGTGGCCTGGGAGGACTGCCGGGAGGACTAAGTCAGCCTGGAACTGATGCCTTAGCCTTGAATAGGGCCGGGAAGCAAGCCAGGCCTAGGGTTCAGTATTAGCAAAGCCTGGAGGCACAAAGGGTCTGTCCTAAAAGCTGCAGCGCCTCCACTTTGGCTGGGATTTAACCCATTGTATCTCAGCTGTTAACAGCTGATTCATTTGGTCATCCATCATCCTATTTTATAGTTTTTATTTCTGGCTGTTTTCTGTTTTGTGAATTTTTCCATATTTGCTTTTATCTTCTATAGTGATTTGTAAGGCAGAAAGCCTGTTTTTAATTATCCCGGTGGTTGCCTTTATCAAATAAAAATACAGTTTATATTTCACAAATTATTAAAGTCAATGACAAACCATTCGTTTTTATATTCCTCTTTATGTAATGAGAAATTTAATGTCTTTCAATCTCCTGGCCTACTGTCCTCACACCTTATATTTGTCCACTTAATCCAGGATGATAGACCCAGCTTTTGTTTACATTTTTTTTAAGCCACAAAATCCTCTTTTTCAATCGTTTTTGGCTTTTGCCAACCCTTTGTTTAATTGGTGTCAATGTCACTGCCAGTTTTGTATGCTCTAATTTTTCTATTCCTCATTCAGACCCAGCTTTCACCTGACTGGTGATTTCAGGGAAGACTCCTGCATGTAATGTTTTTCTAAGCCTTTCCCTAGGTAGGTGAGAAGGCCTTTCTACTGTCTTTACACACAAATGGTGGCTTGACTGTTTATAGAATTCTTGAGTCTCAAACTTTTCCCCTCAAGACACTCTTGTCCTTATTCCATTGTCTTCCGGCTTTCAAAATGGTGCAAGTACACCTGAAATTAATATAGTGTTATATGTCAATTATATCTCAAAAAAAAAAAAATGGTAGCAAAGCTGGGCTGGTCTGTTTTAGGTGAGCAATTTCCCTGGTGCTTGTTGGGATTTTTCTTTACCTTCAAAAGTCAAACATTTTGCCAGTAAAAGTCTCAGTGTGGGACTTTTTCTATTAATTTTCCAGAAATAGAAGAGGTCTTTTCAGCTTTAAAAAGTTTTCTTCTAATTTGTTCCTGTCTATTCTGTGAACAGATTGTTTCGGGGTTTTTTTCTCCCCTAAAATTATCACACTGGATCACCACTGTCAATTAGATCTTTGTCCTTTTTCTCTGCATCCTGGAAGAGTATCTCAAGTTTTTCTTCACCATCACAGATTTAATTCTCTTCAGAGTCAAGGGCACTCTTTGTTTTCTCCAATAAGATATTTAATTCTGCTGGTTTTATTTTCCTTTCATTTTAGCCAATTTCCACCCCACCTTTGTTTTGATCTCAATTTAATCTCTTTATAGTTCTCTGTTCCTATTTCTTAGAGAATGTGGTTTTGCATCTTAACACAGGAAAATAAGAGAATACCATATCTGACTGTTCTAACGCATATGAAAACCTTCATAAAGTGGACCATTTTCTGGGAAATAACATTACAAAAATAAGAAAGACGTTGAAAACATTATCCAAGAAATATGTCCAAAAAAGGCTCTGGGCTCAGATGGTTTCATGGAAGAATTCTTTCAAACTTTCAGTGAACAGATAATCCTGACCCCATAAATCTGTACTAGAGCCCAGAAAAGTTAGAATGCTATTTCACATTATGAAGCCACAGTTCCCCTTATACCAGTTCCCCATAAAGATAGCATACAAAGAACTGCAAACCAATCATACTTACAAGTTCAGGGGGAAAAAAATTCCTAAATACAACTCAAGGAAATAAAATTAAATATTATTGTATGTGAAATTAATAATCCATGAGTTCGTTAAATTAAAAAAAAACAATCATCACCATAGATGCCAAAAAGTCATTCAGGGGCCGGCCCTGTGGCTTAGCGGTTAAGTGCGCGCGCTCCGCTGCTGGCGGCCCGGGTTCGGATCCTGGGTGCGCACCGATGCACCGCTTCTCCGGCCATGCTGAGGCCGTGTCCAACATACAGCAACTAGAAGGAAATGCAGCTATGACATACAACTATCTACTGGGGCTTTGGGGGAAAAAAATAAATAAAATTAAAAAAAAAAAAAAGTCATTCAAAAATCAATACCCAAAAAGAACTCTCATAACTAACCAGCAACGGCTGAAATTAAGATTCCATATTTTGGGCCGGCCCCGTGGCTTAGCCGTTAAGTGCGCGCGCTCTGCTGCTGGCGGCCCGGGTTCGGATCCCGGGCGCACACCGACGGGATTTTTCCCCCTTTGGGGGAAAATAAATAAATAAATAAAATCTTTAAAAAGATTCAATATTTTGTGCTACCTTGACATCTGGTAAAATCAGGAGGGCCTCGAATGGCCTCACAGCAACTTGCCCTAGCCAAACAATTCTCCTTATCAAATGGACCAGGTGCAGTTCCTGCTTATCTCTGAGCAGCGGGTTTCAGCTCTCTGCCAGCCAAGGAACTATTCAAACAAGCCAATCACATCCCCTGCAGCAACCAGGGTCACACCTCACCCACTTGCTGCTACAAAGCCTGCCCCCCACAGCCTCTGGCTGTTCACTAAATTCCCGAGTGCAACGCCTGTGTGGCCCTGTATGGTTTGTGGTGTCCTCCTCCCCTGGCCTGTGAGTATATGTAACTAATAAACTGCTGTCAATCTCACCTGTCCAGTGTCAGGTATTGTGTTTGGCCATCTCCATAACCCTAGGGTGGGAATCCCTCACCAATGGGGTAAAGAGGGAGCAATTAAAACAAGAGTCTATCATCTCAACAAAGCTGGGAAAATAAAAAGAAAGAGACTATCAGATTGACAAAAATGAAAAAGACTGATATCCCAAGTTGGTAAGTCTGTAGATAGGAACTCACACAGTGTTTTTGAGAGTATAAATTGGTACAACCCTTTGGGAGGACAATTGGGTAATATATAAAAACGTGTAATGTGTATATCTTCAGACCCAGCAATTCCATTTCTGGGAATAAATGCCATCACAAGTAATATGATAGATGTACAAAGTCACTGATGTACTGATGGTAATAGCAAAAAAAAAAAAAAAAATTAAACCTAAACACATCAATCTATTAACAGAAGATTGATCAAATGAATCACAATGTGTCCAATGCAATGTATCAATAGAAAGCTACTTAAAAGAATGACATGGATGTCTATGTATTGACATAGAAAGATGACTATATTAAGTAAAAAAGCAAGTGGCAGCATCATTATGTATGCATACTATAATTTTTCTATTATTTTTAAAAGAATATATATGTATATGCATAGAAAAGTCTGAAAAGATACACATCAAACTATTACCAGTGGCTACCCTGAGATGGTGGGATTGCAGGGGGTATGGCAGTAGAGAGGACTCTCTCATTAGGCATTAGGCGCTCTGTAATGTTTGCATTTTTTACAATAAGCATGTACTAGTTTTGTAAAAAAAATTTTTTTAAGATAAAGAAGTTTTCCTGGAAGAATAAACAGGTAAGTAAGCTCTGGAAATTTAGATATGACAGACTATTATGATATTAAATATTTGCTCAAAACTCCCTGCCACAATGGAGTTTGCATTCTAGTGAGAGGAGATGGTCAGTAAAATACATAGCGGATTAGACAGTGGTTAAGTACTAAGGAGAAGCTGAGATTGCAGGGGGATCCCAATTCTGGATAAGGTGGAAGGACTTGCCAAGGAAGTGACATTCAAGTTAAAGATGTGGAGTGGAGGGAGCAAGCCAAGTGTAAATCTGGAGGTTTCTAGGATGCAATCATTTTATCCAATAAAATGAGCTCTTTTTCTATATTTTCTTGTTTTGTCACACTAACTACAGCTTCCAAATAGAAATAGCTACTTAAACATTTTAGTTTCTAATAAGATCAGTAACTACAAAAGGAATTAACATTATTAAAGATCTACTCTTTTAAATGGCACTAGACCCAGACTGTTTGATGGCTGAGTTCTACCCAATCTAAAAGGGATCATTCTAAGTCATAGTAAAAGATGAAAAGCTCTCAAATTCGTTTTACAAAGGTAGAACAATCTTAATCCCAAAATTAAATAAAAGAAGAAAATTGTGATTAATCATCCGTCTTCCCCACTAGCTTGTAGCATCTATGTGGACAGGATCCTTTTTTAAAATTCCATATCCGCATCTTAATACTCTGGTAAACAGAATAACGGCCCCCCAAAGATATCCCAGTCCTTACCCCCAGAACCT